GCTTCAATTCTGGTTCAGCAACTTCCCAAAAGTTACAAGCTCATCGTAATACACAAGACAACCAGGTTTACTACCCAGAAGGACTGCAGCTCAAAGAGGTACAATTTATTATTACTATTGCATGTTGATCCTTGTTTAACTTTGTTCCCATGCATTCAATTTCTTCAACTTTACGCTTTATTTAGATTTAGACCCAGATAATTTAGATCCAGGTAATAATATAAATGAGACTGCCATCACTTATATTATTTTTATTGAAAGCAAAGCATGGGAGGGGAGAAATGGAGTTTTTAAGGCATCCTCCTATGTCTCCATCAGATGGATTTTGATTCTGTTGGCGCGTCTGTAGATGCCCTCCTTAATAATTGCAACCTTTCCCATCGCCTTCACTTTATAAGAGCAGTTTGCCGCATCTTCCTTCTTGAGCAACCGCCACTACGGAAAATGTTCTCCAGGAGCAACAGAGTCTGAAGTCTTGATCTCCCTCCCCTCCCCTCCCCTCCAGAAGCTGCCTATCCACAGGGCTGCTTAATGGAGGCAGGGAGACGGGTATGAAAAGCCCCCTAACCAAAGACCCCTTGGGGAAATCCACCAGGATGAGCCGCACGCTAAAAGTGCAAAGAGCAAAATGCTTCTGCATGTCAAGGGGGGGGGGGGAGAAATGCAATAAAGCTGCAGAAATAGGCGGCTGTAACAGAGCAGAGGAAGGTGCCTGTGGCATCCCACCCCTCATCCCCATCCGTGCCCCCTCCTCTCTGGCAGGCAGAGACTACCCAGGCCCCTCTGGACGATCCCTGCTTCCCTTCCCTTCCGGCATTTCAGGAATCCCTCAAGAGCTTTGATTAGAGAGCCAGGCGGAAGATCAGCCGCCATTCCCAAGAGCTCCTGAGGCTGCTGCTGCCAGCCGACCTCCCAGCGGTCTCACATCTCTTCCAGGCTCCACCTTAGATAAACATGCACGCACACACACACACCCTGCCCAGCCTGGGGGCCTGTGTTTTCACACAGAGGGCCGTGGATGGTGGAGGCTGGTCCAAGGCTCTCCAGAGCAGAGAGAGGGAAGGCCTTGCAGAAGTGGTGGGAACTGGGGCCTTGCACATAGACAGATAGCCAGCCTGTGGCTTGGTGTTTTCAAGGCGATCTCTGGATTTTAGCAATAGCCCTTAGACTTATACACCGCTTCACGGTGCGTTACAGCCCTCTCTGAGTGGTTTATAGAGTCAGCCTCTTGCCCCCAACAATTTGGCTCCTCATTTTACCCACCTCAGAAGGATGGAAGACTGAGTCAACCTTGAGCCGCTAAGAATCGAACTGCTGGCAGTGGGCAGAATTAGCCTGCAGTACTGCCTTCTAACCACTGCGCCACCAGGGCTCTGTATCTGATGCTAAACCTATTTCAAAGGTTACCCTGCAGGTTGTGTGTGCTTCAGGCCTCCCCAAGGTACAAATCAAAATCCTGTACTTTCTGTAACACTGATACAACAGACTCCAGCGGGATTTAATGAATGGAGTCACTGAATTTGGTTCTTGTTGCTTAAGCCAATGTTCTACTTGCACGTGCCAAGACGCAGACCCTGGGCTGCCTCACCCTTTCTCCTTTTCTTCCGAGCGCAGATTAATAGAACTCCTCCAGAGGATCTGGCACCATTATAGATGGCTGGATGGAGCTTGCATCATTGGCAAGTGTCAATAGGGTGAATAATGGCCCCGGTTTGGCCAGCAAGGACGTGAAACCAGCCTGTATTGACAGCTTAATGGGCTCAGGAAAAGCTCATCTCTCTCTCTAGCCCCAGACCCAGCCTTGGCTGTTTTATCATTTTATCTCACGGGGACTTTGAAAGCCAAGCCGATCAGCCGAGGGGGGAAAAAATGTTTATTTTATATCAACCAGTCTTGTCCTTGACTTGGTCTGCTTGTTATGCTTTCCCCATGTTTACCAACTGTTTCTTCTCTGCATTTTAAATACTCCGGCACAGACAAAAGAGAATTTATTTCCTCATTTAATCCCTTTCAGCCCAGAGAGCAAACACATTTGGCAGGGCTAGGCGCTTGCAGTGAAAACGTTGGGGGTGGCGGGGAAGGGAAGGAGACAAGTGGGGGAGCCGGAATGTGGCAACATCGATTCAGCTCGAGAAGGTAAGCTGAGGTTTACAGCTGCCTAGCGAAATCCTGAGAAACAGCACTTGGCTTTTTTATAGCATTTCCAGAGCACTCGGAATGTATTAAGACTTAAACTGCAGAAGATAATTCTTGCCTTGAGAAGTAATTACAGAGAACAGGAGGTTGCTGCTTCTGTAGTAGTAAATACATTGCAGGAAGATGCAGCTTGACTGGATGTGAATTGCCCAACTCTCTTTAAGCTATCCTCAAACGAACAGATGGCACTTCAGCCAGGCCCTCGTTTCTTCACCCTAATCTTTCCAAACCGGTCTGCAGCACACCTGAAGTCATCTCTGCTTCCCTTCTCTTTCTCACAGGGCTGAACACACAACAGAGCCCATCGGTTTTTCTTCCAGCCGATCCGAGGAGAAAGCAAAAAACAGCTTTCTCTTTGCATCTGGCCTCAGAATATTGTTACTCTTGGAGTAACAAATCCTCCCACCCTCGTGCTATACAGAACAAGGAAAAGAAAGATACAGTTTTTGTCCCTGTGCTCCCCAGTTCTGTTTGTTTGTTTATAGTGTGTGTGTTTGTCTCACCGTACACAGAAAACTTGAGTGAGGGAGAGCAGCTAAGCCACCATTCCACTGTAAAGACCCTGTGGAAAAAAAGAGTCAGGCTAGTATGGGGGGGGAGGAGGGGGAGGAGGAGGATTAACCAGCCCAGAAACCACTATGGTTTATCCATCCTGACACAAACGTAACAAATTCCAATTTATAGATGAAAAGAGTTTAAGCAGATCAAGGCACAAAGTAGTGTATCAACAGAGAAGATCTTGCTATTCCCTTTTTATTTCCTTTTTAGATTTTAGTCATTTCCCCCTTGATGTGAATGTTCCTTTGACAGCTGCCTGGATTTAAAAACAGAAACACCCCCCCACCCCCACCTTAAAAAGAAAGTCTGAGATAGGAAGGCTGACCCTTTCTTTATCTTGCAAATGTCAAGTCCTCTCCAAGAATAAATAATTCAACCCTGCTTTTAGCAGACACTTAAGCGCCACCAAAGAGATGCAAGATAACCTGATAAAAAGTGGGGGGGGGGGTCAGAATTGACCACATTTAACTGACAGATGGTTGAAGTCCACCCATCTTCAAGTTGCCAAGATTGAGAAACCAACTTTCCTTCCGCTAAGAAACCTGCCCTTAAGGAACAAAATGCTCCTAGGAAGATGGTGGTGATGACACAGGATATGGAGATCTACCACCATCACCACCATCCTGGAAGCATTTCAAGCAAGTCCACCCAACTGGAAGATGGGAGGGGAATTCTGGGAGTTGAAGTCCACCCATCTTCAAACTGTCAAGGTTGAGAACACTGCTTAATAGAAGAAGCTCCCAACTTGTCATCTCAGAGACAAAACAGATGGAAGATCAGGATGCTCCGTGAACCATTCCTGGGAGTGGGAAGGGGGGGGGGGACTTTGGTCCAGTCACCAACTCCGTGTGATCTCAACTGGCAGCTATTTTTGCTGCACCAGGAAACCTGAAAGGTCTCCACTCCCCTGCTGAGAAACAGCTCTTGTCAGCTCTGACATTTTTTCGTTTGATGCCACGTAGGGAAATGTCACCCACCCTTTCGCAAGACGCGCGCACACGCACACACATGCTGTGCTGGCCCTTCACAACTCATTTCAGGACGTTTCCATCAGCCCCGCACGCCCCTGCTTGAGTGACGGGGCCAACTCTGGCCGATGCTCTCCTGAGCTAAATTGAATTTCCTTCCTGCTGAAGCTCCATCAGACTTTTTGCTGATGAAGATCGGGGAGAATCGCTTGGCATTTAGCGAGATGCCGTCCAGGCGTGTCCATTACTGTGTTCACTTAGCAAACTTTATTAGATTATTAGATTTTCAGGCCCTGTGGCATTTCCATGATTGCAGCAGGAAAATACTGCAAAATAAGAGATGGGGAGAAGCTGGGTTTGCTTCTCCATCTGCCACCAAGGACTCCCCCCCCCCGCATATATTTATATACGAAAACGTGCAGTTATTTTGGAAATGGTCAGATCAGTTCTGAACCCACCATCCATATTTAATCATGTTAAAAGAGCCTGAAATGCACAGGGGAAACGTCCCAAAGACCAGCTTCTGGACAGATTGCCAACCACAAAAGCCCGGTGTCCATTTCTGTATTATATCGTAGCATGGACTGCCTGCTTTTGATTTACCCGGCTCTCTGAATCTCTCCAGGGTAGCCTGTAAACCACAGCTAAGCCCTGAGCATCAAGCAGTTGACAAACCTTGATTAAGGCGCAGTTCAACACAATGCACAAAAGTTTTCATCCTCAGAGTTATGTTTTCTGACACTCGAGGAGGAAGGGGGGAAGCGAATGTGATACCATTGGCAAAGCAATCGGCAGCATCACTCAGCATGTAAGGCAGGAGGAAGGCCTGCAGACCATCAGATAAGAGGCAGTGGAACACTGGAAGGGACCCTCCCTAGTTTCTTGAGCTGTAAAGACAAGTGGGGGGGAAGAGATGTACTTTCACAATGGCAAGACTGATGTCAGCTTATGAGGCAGTCCGGAGAAGAAGCACATTCAGAAGTACCAGCCATAACTTTATTGTAAGGTGAATTAACGGAGCCTTGCAAATTTTGAAGACGCATCTCTCCCCCCCTCCCCTTTACAGCCCAAGACACTAGGGAGGGTCCCCCGAGACTTTAGCCGCACCCCCAAGCTCCGCTATCTCTTTTCTGACCACTGTCTAGTCAGAAGCTCTCCCTCCTGTCTCCCAAGTCATTCACAGGTTATCCCATCCAGCCACACAAGCAACGGACACCCTCCCGGGTCCTGGCTGAGCTCCGAGCTTTCCCAGGGCACGAAGCTTCTCTGCACACCTACCTTGGAAAACGGCCGCATTCTGCATAATGAGGAATTTCAGGTCCATGCTGGCCGACTGGAGAATCTGCTCCATGTTGGAACGAGCCAAGCCTTGGTATCTCTCCTCCATCTTGCGGGAGCAGCAGGTGAGTCCTTTGGGGATGCATATTTGCAAATCTGACCCTGTGAGGACAGAGACCGGGGGGGGGGTGTTAGCATGTACCTTTTGGAGAGGGGGTCCCTGGCTCTATTTGGCAATGTTTCATGGGAGAGAGAGAGAGCTGAAAGTACTAGCAAGAGTAAGGTCCTTGCTCCAGGCCACCTTGAATCTCCAGGAATTGCCCTGCTCCACCCTGCCCTGCAGCTTCAGACAAGGCTCCTTCTCAGTTCCCAGGCTGAGCAGAGACATGTTGAGGATGCTGGTCCTGACTGCAAACCTTGTTACACGCAGGGGCATCTTGCGAGCGCTGGGCCAAGAGGAGGAAAAGGCTGGCGGCTCTAGGAAGCCAGCCAAAACACACATACTTTCCCCTCTTCAGCATTTTATCCAATTCAGAAAAATCTCCAGAGAGGACTATTTTCCTTGTCAACTGCCAAGGTAATTCCTTTGTTTAATGGTCCTTCCTAAAATTGCTCTGCCTTCCGTTCCCATTTGGGAGAAGGGAAGGCGGCTGTAGCATGTGACCACGAAGCTCAGGACCCATTCATCAAGGCCTTCTCAGATACCTCGGAAACATGAAACAGCTGAAGGGAGGGAGGGAGGGAGGAAATAGGGGGGAGAATAGAGAAAAAGATGGATGGGTAGATGGATGAATGGAAGGAGGGAGGGAGGGAAGGAAACAGGAAGGAGAATAGAGAAAAAGATGGATGGATGGATAGATAGAAGGAAGGAAGGAAGGAAATAGAATAGAGAGAAGGAAAGCAGGAAGGAAGGAAGGAAGGAAGGAAGGAAGGAAGGAAGGAAGGAAGGAAGGAAGGAAGGAAGGAAGGAAGGAAGGAATAGAGAAAAAGATGGATGAGTGGAAGGAAGGAAATAGGGATAATAAAGAAAAGGAAGAAAGGAAGGAAGGAAATAGGGAATAGAGAAAAGGATGGAGGGAGGGAGGGAGGGAGGGAAGGAAGGAAACAGGAAGGAGAATAGAGAAAAAGATGGATGGATGGAAGGAAATAGAAGGGACAATAGAGAAAAGGAAAGAAGGAAGGAAGGAAAGATTTTTGTGGTGATTGTTAATTGAATCGCCACAGTTGTTAAGCTTAATGGTTTTAAAACTGAGAAAGAGAGAAAGAAAGCTGACAGAATCACTATTCCTGCTTCCTGCAGAATAGGCGAGAACCAATAGGGCCTTCAAGGAGATGACAAACTGCATTCAGACAGATCATAACCCCCCCAAGAATCTTATGCTGAAGCATCCCCATGATCCAAAGGATGAGGAGGTTTCTTTCCTGGTCTAGATATGCGAATGAGACCACGTAAAGGAGGCCAAGGCAGCGTCTACCAATATTCATCCATAAAAACAAAGCAATTTCTAATTTGTAAGGGTCTACGGCTCCCATTCTATTTTAATTAGGCACATAAATACATAAACATACTTCCTGAAGCCGCGAGGAAAAAGCAAAGGAGGGAAGGGGGGAAGAAGGGCTTGCAAAAATGGCACTTTGGAGTGTTGTTAAAATTAATCCCTTGGCAAAGACAGGGAAGCGCTAACGGTCACCGAGAGCAAAGCAATCGCCTGGAGCAGGCTCCTACAGTTTGGAGCATTCTTTTGCTATCAAGAGAGCAACTTATGGCCCTGAAATAATTGCAAGCCGAAAACTCAATTACCCAGCAAAGGAGAGGACCTGAAAAGTGCCATGCGGAGCAAAAGAAGACCGGAAGATCCTCGGCTGCACTAACTTCTGATACTCCCCACAGAGTCGCTCCGTTTATTCCCCCCTTTGGGCTCCAGAGCCCTCCAACCTGCCCCAGCCCATCCAAGAATTGCACTTCGTGGCACCAACACACTCGTGGCTGCTGCGTCTTGCCACAACCACGTGTTGTAATTTTTCCAAGACTGCACCCTACATTTAGTCCTTAGGGAGAGAAGGAACTAAATCCAGGACAGTCGCAACTTTCAAGCTGGGAGTTGCGCTCAGCCTTGGGGGGAAACACTACCAAAACACCAAACTGATAGTCCTCAACTTATGACGACCATTGAGCTCATTTCCATTGCCAAGCAAGACGGTTGTTAAGTGAGTCACATCCCACTTTACAACCTTTTTTGCCAGGATTGTTAAGCAAACCACTTCAGTCGTTAAGTGAACCTGGCTTCCTCCGCTGACTTTGCTTGTCAGAAGCTCCCTGGGAAGATTGCAAATGACAACACAGGTGGTCCTTGACTTATGACCCCAACGGAGCCCAACATTTCTGTTGCTAAATGAGACATTTGGTAAGTGAATTTGCCCCATTTTACGGCCTTTTTTGCCCCAGCCGTTCAGTGAATCCCTGCAGTTGTTAAGATAGTAAGAAGGGCATACATAAGGAGAAGCAGGCCACCTGGAACAAGCTGTGCCAGCCAATTAACTACCGCGATGCAGAGAAGGAAGACAGTCCATGAAAATGAAGCCGCTTTGCAGTAATCTTGTAAGACATTTATTTAATCGTCTTATCAATACAATGAAGAAATTACTACAGCAGCATCCATCTTGCCTACTTTAATTAAATTATCTGGGAAGCTGGAAACCGGTAGTGAGCAATCATTAGGCTACTGTTGCACAAAATTGATAAGGCTGTCCCCTTGCATAAGCCTCTAATATTAACGGATTAAAACTTTGGCCTGGCAGCCTGGAGAGGTGATGGCCACGAAGCACAGTGAATGTGTCCGAGTGGAGGGCTTTTTATGAGCTGTCTCCGTAAGAAAAGACATTTGTAAGAGCCACTTGTGAGCACCTCCCAGCTTTGCTTTTCCATGGTTCCTCCGTTTAAAAAACCAAAGTCACCTGCAGACATCTGCTTTAAGAGTGGTGCCCGGCTTTTGTGTCTCGCGACACAGACCAAAATCAAAGAACAGAAGCAGAACGTTGCAACAACGTTTTCTGCTTTCGATCCTTTTGGAAGATGTTTGCACTGGGCCCAAGGACTGGGCCCATATTCTTCTTTTCAAAACTTTTGTTTCAAAATTTCAGAAAGGTGTAGAATACAAACAAGAAAAAGAATTTAAAAGAGAGAGGGGCTCAGGCAAAGCAAAATTGGAGAGCACAGACGAAAAGAGGGAAAAGCTGTCAAAAAAAAAAAGTAACTTCCTACTTTCTTGGACACAGATAAAAAGCTAGAAATCAATGACCTTTTGAGGTAGAAAAAACCATCACAAACAGGACTAAACATCAAAACCCCAGGATAAACATTTTTCCCAATATTCTTGTGGGCTGGAAAACAATCAGAAAGTGGTCTTTGGATCATTCCTCCCCCCTTCTCTGTCTCAATATTACGTGTGTAGATCGTTGTTTTTTGAACTCTCACTTTGATCAATTCTTAGTCTGACCTCTGAAAATGCTAAATTAAAAATGCTCTCACTACAGAAATGATTACAGTTAAACGTTGCTAAAAATTCTTCTGATTCAGTCCATGATTGTGGGGGGGGAGAGGAATGAGATTTTTTTTTTCAGCCCACAAAGGAGATTGGGAAGCCACAATTGGACAAATACCCTCGTTGCAACCATCTGGGAAGGTCGGAAAACACGGCTACGGGACCCCTGGATGCCACAACTAGTTGTGAATGCCAGCCAGTTGACAAGAGCGCCCGAATTGCAAACCTGTAACCGTGAGGTGGTGTGATGGTCATAATCATTTTTTCAAGGCCGTCATGGCTGAACTGTCATTAAATGAAGGTCTGTAAGTCAAGGTCTGTAAGACTGCCTGCAGAGGCACATCCGGAAGGGCTAACCCCAACTGGAAAACTTGATAGGCAGGGATGCTTCTGCAGAGCAAGGATGGGGCATATCCTGAGCAAACGTGTCTCACAAACTGACAAAGATGTTCACACTGAAATCCAAAACAGGATCGATTCACCTGGGTTCTAGAGAAGCCATCTTGTCCCCTCGTTTCGAATCCTGCAGCTTCTTTTCCTGGGAGACCATCCAAGATAGACACCCACCCACCCACCCACCCGCCCCCATTTCCGTCCAGAAGCCCCCAGCCTCTTTGCTGCTCTTTTCCACCAATTTCAGACTGGACGTTTTCCATGCTGCTAATTGACCACACTGAATAGGGGTCATTTTCAACCAGGAATGCAGAAACCCCAAAACACACATGGACAACCTCAGGCGCCACCTCAGACCCACAAGCGGTGGGTCCGCATCCCGCAAGGTTACTCCGGTTCTCTTCCAGCTGACAAAAGAGAATCCACCTGACCGGAAGATGGCCAAAAGCTCTTGTGAGGCTACCAATGAGTTGTGGTCAATGGCCAGTGAGGGAAGAGGAGGAGGAGGAGGAGGAGGAAGAGGAGGAGGATGGAGAAAAATATCGGAAGTGACAGGCAGAGCAAGCCTGGCAGCAGCGGAGACCAAGTGAGCAATAAACCGGAAGCCGGGCCACCCTTTCACCATGACACTCCCCTGATTAGAGAGAATTTATGGAGCCCGGTCTGGAAAGGAGACGCTCATCAAAGTATAATTACTCTACCGAGATCTCCAGAACGAGCGGTTGGAAGAGAGAAATAACCAGCCAGCCATTCTTTTCATTAGGGCTCTACATTAATATGTCTGCGGGCAAAGCGGGAGCCCACCGCCCCCACCGGTGAGGAGAGAGAAGGGAAACACAATGTTTAAGTACTACTAGTCCTCGGTTGACCGTTCATTTAGTGGCCGTGCAAAGTTACAATGGCATTCGAAAAGTGACTTACGACCGTTTTCTACACTTACGACTGCTGCAGCCTCCTGCGGTCACGAGATCAAAATTCAGACTGTTGGCAACTGATTCTTAGTTATGATGGCTGCAGAGTCCAGGGGTCATTTGATCCCCTTTTGCAACCTTCTGAGAAGCAAAGTCAGTGGTGGGCAAGCCAGATTCATTTAATGACCATGCTAACTTAACAACTGCGGTGATGTGCTTAACAACTGTGGCAAGAAAGGTCGTAAAATGGGGCAAAACTCACTTAACAATTGTCTTGCTTAGCAACTGAAATGTTGGGACTCAATTGTGGTCGTTTTGAAAATATTTCTCACTGCAGGATCAGATGGATTTGCGGAACGGCAAGCGTGGAGGTGCCTGTTGCACTGCTTGGGGTCAACACCCCCCAAAAATCCCACCCCTGTGACTCACTGGCTATTCAAGCCTTGACTGCTGCAATGCATGAGTTGGTAGGGTGTCCCTAGGAGGTGTTGGGAAATGTCCCAGTTCAAAAATTCACAGCTAGATGGTTCATGGGACCTCACTGGTTTTGAAAGGTTTTTTTGTTAATGTCAAAATTTGCTTCGAGGATG